AAAAAAAAAAAAAAAAAAAAAGAAGAAACATGAGAAAAGAGAAGATCAGTATGTGGACCACTGTGGCGTACGAAGAGTCGGTGAAATGCAAATTTTTCCGTCGAGCTGGCTTTTACCAGAGGTTATACGCGCGTGCATGGGGATTGAAGCGCCCCCGTAATGGCGACCTAATTACCCGGTCCGGCTATCTTTACAACCTTGGTAATTCGATAAGCCCTTGGGGAAAAAAAGATGACCTCGACGAGCGAACGTTGTCGCCGGTGTCGCGAAAATTTCGTACGGCCAGGTGCGATTTACGGCGTGGCACCATGATGATACCTATATATGTATGTAGGTGTCGCGCGATTTCACGAGTTCGGAGAGAGGCTACGTTCGGTTTCGGAAAGAAATTGCCCGCGGCGCGGGTAAATAATTATACTCGCGGATAGAGACTCGAAATTTGCATAGAAAAAATTCTCCCTTTTTTCTACTATTTCGGTTCTTCGTTTTCGCTACACAGTTAGCTTATAAGCGATGCTTCCATGAAACATGCTCGATCATTTTCATGCGATGTATGCATAGATATGTGACGTATGTGTACGTGTACGTGTATGTGTGTGTACATGTGTGTGTGTGTTTGCGTGGGTGGTATCAACGAATGAAAAGAACATCGAACTTCGTAGCGTTCCTTTATCGCATTTTAATGGCAAATTGCAACGTGAAGTTGGCCTATGTTTTATCGCGCTGTGATGATCTACTAAATCGATCGATTCAATTCTTATCGGTGAATTCTGTTCTGAATTTAGACAATACACGGAGAATAGTCAACCGACAAGCAATTTTGTACTTTTGAAATGGTGAGACTTGAATGGTTAATAGTCACTGTAGTTAAACTGTAGTATTTTTGAAATTGCACACATATCTGATCTCCGAGAGATTGGAATATTCATTGTTCATCTAGATTTATTAAGCAAGACCTAATTATTATGCTCGTGGCTGACATGAAAACTGCAAAAACTGTGGAAATGCGAACTTCCAAGCGGAGAAATTGAAATTTCATTTTCAGAGAGTCGACGCACACCTTTCCTGATGTCACGCGAAACAATTCCGTTTCGAAAATTGCGCCCAATTTTGGATGGAACTGATTGTTCAAAAAGTTTACACACAGACGATTGATATTAAGAATATTATGGAATAATTGTTCTGCTACTTTTCGTTCTTTCTTTCTTTCTTTTTCATTTCATTTGGTCATTTTTTTTTTTATTTCCGAAACCTTTCTGATATTTCGATATGAAATTTTTAATAATGTCAAAATAACAAATATAATTTTATCTTTAATTCTTTCACCTTGTAATTACGTTGTGATTAACGTAGAAGTTGTGAGCAATACGTGAATACTATAAGCAAACGTTTTTTTCCTAGCATACCGTGATAGTTGAGCAAATTCACGTGTCTCTGAATATATTTAAAGAAAGAGGTATATCTAATTTTTGCGATGAATTATTTTTCTTTAGATTTTTCTAAAAATGCACAAATATTAGCAATCTAATGAAATATTCACCTCTTCACACCTTCAATTAAATTTCGAAAAAATATTGTCTTTTTCTAACATTTGTTCTGCTACGTATATTCTCTTATAAATTATATGAAAAGTTATTTTGTTCACGAAGATAATTTATGTATTGTATATTTAAAATACGTGACGAGAATATTTTTATTGTTATACATTAAATTTAGCTTTACGAGTAATTTCTTTTAGCACGAGAGAATTTAAAGCAGCACGTATTATTGCTACGTCTTCTTTTTAAGCGTCACTTTCAGTAAATTACAATATAATTTTATGACTTCCGTTCATTTCTTTTACGATTATGTTAATATTCAATAAAACGTTCCTTTCTTAAAGCAAAAATTACTACAATTTCACTGTCACTTAATATCCAGTCAGAGTCCACTGTTTCATTAATTGCATAATAAAACGTTGTAATACGATAAATACAATGAAATGTATATTATTTTTTTATGCAATAAGTGTATAATAAAAAATTGTAAATGTAAATAGCAATAATTTGCAAAATAAATATGTAACAAAAGTATAGTACAATTCAATTCGTAATAATTATTATATATCACCTAATTATACAAAGAGTTTATATATAATAAAACAACGTAACCTGACGTGTTTAACGTACTATCATTTAGTCTCTAGATACATATAATATTTTGTCCGTTCATTTACATGAAAATTACCGAAGTTATATCAAACTAATTAACATTCGCGTTGGCACGGCTCACGAATTTCATTATAATTGCAACATGAATAATTAAAGATACCGCAAGAGCGTATTTATCTTTTTATCCAGACCTGGATGTTCAAAAACTGAAAACATCCAATCAATCCAAGTTCATCAATTTCACACTTTCTCCCGCAGAGAACGAAAACTTTTTGAACAATCCGTTTGCGTGTGAACATCTGGATTAACGTTTCCCGTGTTTATACTAACAATCACCGAGCTTGTCTTCGAATATTTATTACACACCGTGTCATCACTTGGTGTATCATCGGAGAAACGTGCCTTCGTGAAACGTTACATTTCCTCCACGTGTGTGATAATAATACAGTGACGCCGTGGGGAGAAAAAAAAAAAAAAAAAAAAAGAAAAAAGAGTCGCGAGATCTAAGCCTTTCT